ATATATATATATATATATATATATATATATATATATATATATATATCAAGAGACACGGTAGTGTCTCGCGCCAAGTACGTATATATATACGCATTAAAATTTTAACGTACATGAAAGTTAATGTAATATAATACAAAATTTTTTTTTATAGAAATGCAATTATTTTTTTTGCATACGTGATGTTCTTATATAATTATTTATTATGTGATAGACTTTATATCTGTTTAATAAATATGACATGTATCCTTCTTCAAGATACACGACTTACGAGTACGATGATGACTCTGCACCACATTCTTCACGCGATTATTACGAATCTTCGGACTATCCAGGTAAGCTATTATATTTATATATTTGCTTGATTATATTAAATAAAAAAATTTTTTACATGAACTTTTTATGATCGTATTTTAATAATAAAAAATTTTTATATTAGATTGTATATTTATATGGGTATTAATTCTTTTAATTCTTTTACTAAATGATGTAAATCCTTTATTATGCTTACGCAGGGTTTATTATCACGTACAAATCTTATAAAATTTTGTAATATAAATATTTATAAATAAACATTCGAGAAATTATTTATATTTATAATTATTGATATAAACTGAAATTATTACAATTATTGAGGAAACATCATTAATAAAGTATATAATGTTTATATGTTTAAAACGAATTTATTGAAAGCTTCCATGGGAATGCATTAAATACTAAAATTGTTAATTATATATAATAATTTTTAATTGTATATTTATAAATTTAAATTCCTATGTCGTAAAAGAAATAACTTTAGACTAATAATTATAAACATCCTTTCTATTAAATATTGACTATTTTTTAAGCCCCTAATAATGATCAATTACCAAATGAATAAATCTCAGAACCAAATAATGCCTTTACATGATTCTATAAAGATTAATAATATTTAAGAAATTTTAAATAAAAACTTTTATGGAAATTAATTTTAATGTAACTTAATATAAATGTTGCCTTTTATTTAAATCAGTTTAGTTTACCCCCCCCATAAGAGAGAATTACGTAGATAATATACAATAATTTACATTGAAAGCAGATAATGTATTATAATTTACATTATTTCCCAAATTTATGAATCGTGCAATTCCAATTGAAGCATTGTAGGCGTAACTTAAATCCGCTGTAATAATGAAATTTAAACCCTGCCGTAAACTATACAAATATGCATGACGTTGATGTCGCATGGTGATACATCAACACGTTGATATCTTTGAGAATTTGAATATCTCGCTAAACTAAGGAACTGCCATCGTGTTCTGCCTAAATAATTAAAGCGCATCAATCCATGTAATTCGCAGAGGATTCGTCGAGCCGCGCTTGGAAATCTTACAAGACCACAACGACGTCAGGCGCAGCCTCGCGCTACCGCACCACCCCATATACACGACCTTCAAAGTAAAGACTTAGAAAAAAAAAATCATCCGCTAAATTTTCTTTTATCTCAATTATCCATACTCCTCTAAATATTATTTTTTTTTTTATATTATTATTTCATAGCGTTGTTACTAATCCGTTGGTGGCTAATCTTCCTAATGCACGGCGGCCTATGATGCCCACTATGCAGAAACCGGTAAACGAAAGAAATCGTCCTTAATCGATCGACGACATGAAGGCTAACACGGTAATAATGCCCAAATATTATTCCCTCTTGACGATTACTAAACACTAACGTTAATACAAATTTCCTATTCTAAGGGAGATTTATTTATCATTAAATTTCCTTTCTTATAAAAAGCTAATAAATCTTTAACGAAATAAAAGGCTCATGCTGTCTATCGCACTCTATTCGTATCTTTTTCTCATTCATAAATGTTTAATATTAATTTTATTTTATATTAATTTTTTTATAATGGATTCAATAATTTTCAGATTATTTTTCGCGGCCACTGGATAAACAGGAACATATAAACTAACCCATAATTAAAATACATCCAATATAGAATTTACACAGCCAAAATTCAATATTCATCATATTAAATTCAATATTCTTGACCATGAACGCGATAAATTTATTCCTTTGAAAGTTCTCCTCAATCCTCAATTGCTTCGTAGTATAATTTTATAATTCAATTACTTCATAATATAATTTTAATTCAATGTATCTAGTTTGCTATAAAACATTAATTCCGTTTCCTCAGTCCTATTCCTAAAATTTTTGACTATAAATGGATTTAATTATTGACAAGAAGTAAAGGACCAAGAGGATAGATGGGATAATTTACAGTAAAAGATTCAAAGTAAAACTTTGAATAAGCGATTAATATTCCATAAAGTGAAACGAAAATTATGAATTTCATAATTATATACTCAATATTACATATATAAGTTAAGTGTGAATTAGAGGCTAAAGGATCCTCAATATCTTCTTCTTTGTACTTAATGTCTTTTATGATTTGAAAAAAAAGTTAAATAAGACATTAAAAGATAACAAATCTAATCTGACTTATGATCAAATCATGTATTAACATTACTCTTCCACTCGCTCGAACGAGATGTAAGTCGAATGTACGTATTGAAATATTTGAAATATCAAAATAATATTGCATTGTAAATAGAATAGATTATTAAAAGATTTAAATTATATACAATGCAAACTACAATTATAAATTGATATGAATTTTTTATTATTAATATAATATGACACCATGTTACTTACTTAACGCACACAGCCTCTATTCATTAAAATTAAACTGGATAATATGTAGATTACAAAAAAAATATTAACAACTTGTATTCTCTATTATGTAGAAGAATAGAAGATTAAGATAAATCATAGTGTTATACATATATATAAATAATTTCCAATATATGAATATTTAAAAACATGTAGACTGTAATTCATAAATCGTTAAAAATATATGTAACATGTAACCTTCAAAAATTGAAATAAACATGAAGTAATAATATCAAACGTTTGTTTTGAAAGATGCCAAAATAAATTTCCCAACCAACGATAAAGCTAATTGTAAGATTCTAATAATAATTTTGAACAAAAATATTCTCTTGTATGTAGTTTTACTCCCAATAAATATTGTAAATTTTTTAAATCATATATTACGTATGAAAACTTACTATTATTTTATAAATAATTGTTATTAAAATACTTTCATAAATGTTCACGGTTTAAATATTTTTAATATAATAACGTATTATATTGAAAAATTTTCATAAAAGGTATAAAATATAATTTCGATTGAATGTATAAATTAAATTAATAAAATGTACGAGAGATATCCTCTTTACCAAATAACTGAATAATTTTATATATCTATAATTTTATAGCACGCGCGAAATAAAGTCAATAAATATAAAATACTTGACAAAAGGGAGTCTTGATTTAAAAAATCGTTTCATAGAAATGTCATGAAAAACCATTTTGAGTTTTATTTTATTCTAATATTCTTATTCATGTATTTCACATAGGTGGGTAAAAGATGATGAAGATCTTTGATCATGAAGATTAATATAATGGGAATCACATTAATCATGATGATGGACTTTGAAGAGCCATGAGTTTAACACGACGTGAGTATACTTATGCTTTATTTACAATTATCTGCTACAAACATAAAAATCAGATGTAAAATAAGTCTGCTTTAACGATCTCTTTTCTTTTTATTTTTTATGCTTGCATAAAATTGAGATAATATCTTAGAATAAAAATCCAAGAATAACAGTTGTAAGAATTTAATTGAAAGTAAACGGAGTATTCAGTTTATTAGAAAAAATAGTATAATGATTTATTTATAGGATATTTTTATAGGATATTGAGAAAATTACTTATCCGAGTATTTTTTATGAATATACATGCATTTATGCAAAGTTAGCTAGTGAAAGTACAATTTTTTAATAAATAAACGTAAGTATAATTAAAATAGCACGTATTTTATATCTACTGTATTTTATCATCTATGCATTATTATTTTATTATTTATTATTTTAATATGTTCAGTTATTGTCATGTATGATTTACGTAAGATGAAATCAGCAATTAATGCTTTCAATAAATTAAAAAATTATTACAATCCAATCTTTTATGATAAATGGTTAGTTTTTATAAATATGACAAAAATATTAAAAGGATCGAAAATAATGTTATATATTTAATGATTCTTTTATTATTTATAGCTATAAAACATGGTTGGCGTTTATTCTAGAAAGAAATATGAACGAAATCAGAGATTTTTCTTAAAAAGATATCATTACTACACACAAAATGTATTCGATATTTTTTTGCTTGTGCTTTAATCTATTACAAAACTCACTCTCTCAACATATCGATTATATTATAGCAAAGCAAATTATAAAACCGTCAGCAATTCTTGTAATTACTATCATAATATAACAGGTAGTCATTTTATCACGAGGGATTGCTTAGAAACAATATTCTTATTTATTTATCACACACCAATATACAAAAATGAACTGTATAATCAATATCAGAATATAATATACTACGAAATTCAAATATATTTAATAAAGATATATCTGAGTATCTTACAAGATTAGAATGATGCTTCAACTTGAAACAAAAAAATCATCTACAACATTCTTTGCAGTTGGCACAGAAATTCTGGTAGAAAAACGTATTTCTACGGCCGTCCTAAGGATTATAAATAAGTATTAATTTATGGGAATCCTTAGCTTCTAACAAGTCGCATCTAAGTAGTTGTGAGTGAAAATAAGGTGCCGAGTTTTTCTTTTCCCTAACTTTTTCCCTAACTAATCCCTCTGCATATGAACCGGGGAGCCGTAAAAGATGCTTCGTTCGTTATATTCGTTCGCTTAAAGTGCAACCGAGGGCTGCGTTGTGAAGCGTCCACGCATCTTGTATCTGTTGAAACGCATGCTGATTTTCGCCGTACTCTTCGCATAATAATTACACCATTATTATGTTACTTATCTCGTATGCGTCATTTTATTTAGAACGATGTCACAATACTAAATTGTTTCTAACGTGCATTGATGTTTCGGTACATCAGGCGATGATCAGCAGAGCGATCTTTGATTTATACTCGCTAACGCAAAATTTCTTCCTGCCGTGCAATCACATATATAGCTAAGATAAAAAAAAGCGCGCGTGATAAAGATGACGCTGCTGATCACTCACAATAGATGCCTTCTGAATTAATAACGTGCTATATTATTGATGAAGAATTGCATTATTTGCAAAATATGGCGTATAAATGTGAAATTATGTAACAAGTACGGAAGTACGGAATACGGAGACGCCAGATTTAAAGATTTTATTTAATGCGTTTTAACATTTACAAAACTGTCTTACGCTTTGCGTAGTGCAGAGGCGGCTCCACTGTAAGGACAAGCTACGCGAGAAGCTATACAAGTCCCATATGAGTATTCGAGGAATTCGCTTACACGATAAATCTTCGTATCCAAGAACTCGTGTAAAATGTAAGAATGTGAATATAAAGAGGTGAGATCCTTTCGAGAAGACCTCATCCTCAGTGTGAAGAATGTCACATTAGATCTGGCAGCACAGCAGTATGAGTTTTTTTTTTTCCCTAAAAGCTTTGCCAGTCCTAGAGCCGCCTCTAACACCAAGAGAAGACGTGTGTCTTCGTGGTATGGTTCCTACGGCAACGAGCCAGTCTTATGCTGCGCGACCACCCTGCTAATACTTCACTTCTATGAAAAAACATGGAATGTATAGTGTATTTTTTTTTTATCGGTTTACACCTTAGTAATGTGTACGATTATATCACAAGAAAGATTCAAATATTCTGTACATAATCCGCGACGACGCGAGACGCCTGGTGTTCAAGGTCGCCTCTTCTTCCTCTTTCTTCTCTTGATTCTCGTCTTCCTCGTCTTTCCCGCTTTATTTAATCTTACATTTATATATATATATTTATATATATATTTATATATACGCCTAAGATTTAATTACAAAGTTAGATATGTCTCAGGTTCACCTGGTATTGTACTTCATACAATTTCTCGTGACTGGCGAGTCACGACGGCGAAATGCGGCCGACGAGCGTGTTCGCGCGTCGCTCCCGAGGAGACTTCCGTTTCGTTACGCGCGCGTGTCATTCGCGTGCTCGAGGAAGCGCTTTTTCGTCGCGCTGTTACCGCTTTCCCTCTGCGTCCGGTTTTCTTAGCCGCCAGTCGCTTACGTTAATAACTCGATATCGATAATTGGCACATCTTTTTAATGGCAAGTTTCGCATTGGCACGATAATGGCCCTGGGGAATAGCCTTGAGTGCAGTCTCTTCGGAGGAGAATTTAATCGTTGACAAGCGTGATGCTGATGGTTCTTATTTTTAAACGATAATAATTCTTTCTGTCGACTAATAAATAGAACAAATATATCTACCAAAATAGAACAAAAATATTGTAGAAAAATTTGCAAATAATTCGTTAAATTAATGACATTACTCATTTTTCGATGAAACGTTTAGGGAAGGATATAATCTCGTCAGAAGGACTTCAATTTTGGCGATTCCCTGGACTTAACGTCGTTCCTGACTATCACGCGAGTGTGCACCTATCAAAGGCAGAATCCTCGCTTGTGGCTAATCGCACGATGTCCCATTATGATTAATATCAGTAGAGGTGACTAAACTGATACATCGGTTACCGAGGACTAAGTTGCACTTTGATACTCGTACACGACCGCTTCTGATTACACGGCAAAGAATTGTTGGTCCAGGTAAGTCTCATTGATGGAAGCACAGTTTTACTAATAAAAAAGTTATGTAAAATTATTCCATAAATCATAAAATAATCCAAAATATATATTAAAAGAGAAAGAAGTAAATCTCGATTGTTTTTGTTCTTTCTTAATTAATGTTTTTTTTAATAATTTAAAACGATCTGCGAATTTTTTTTTCCTTGCGGATTGCTTATTAATAATTATAAATTGTGGATGATTGGATTACAAGTTACAGGAGACAGTAATACTAATAATTTGTTGAATTAATATTAATGATTGCACTAAGTTTTTCGCATTTTTCGACTATCATAAATATTTCACGATTATCCGATCTCTCCACAAATCACAAATTTTCTTGCGTGAAATTTTCAATAAAAACGAAGAATAACGGCGCAAGGGAATCAATTAGGATCTCATATGTTCGTATCTGTCGCACTTTCTTATCACACCCGTTACTATGTCGTGTTACAGTTTCTGTACAAATAATAATTTCGTATAATTTCAAATTTACTAACCGAATAAGGAAAACAAAGATTTTTATTCACATCATCCTGTTATTTAATAAAATTAGAGTGATTAAATACATGCGATAAAGATGAAGAGCTAAAGTAGAAGGTGAGCACCTTCGTTATCGTTAGTTATCCGTTTAACTTTATTAACTTTTCTTCTCAGTTAACTTCACTGGCCTCATGTTCAAAAGTACGCGAAACGATGACTTGATGTGACGGATGTGATTTACGCATTATCGAATCGCAGCTCTTTAAAAAATTCGATCTGTCATATTTGCGGCGAATCGGTGGGATAAAGGGCGGATTATATAAATGTTTGCAAAAAATCGTAGCTGTATACCTTTGATTCTGATCTTGCGGAATGCCTTCTTTAAGAAGACGGTAAACCCAAGTAGAATTATCGTACAGTGTATTGAACTAAAGTTTTTGGAATAATACTTTTTTTTTTTGGAGAAGATCTAGATGTAAAAGTATATACAATCTTAATGTATTTCCATATAACACAAATATCCAACAGATATTCTCAGATATCTTTTTTCCTGTGATATTCGTGTTTTTAAATATTGATTAACACGATTTTTTAGTATATTTCTATCGTAAAGAGATTGCTTATAAACACAAATTATATATCAAAATTTCGATACAACATTTCTAAGAGAGAAAAAAATCAAGAATCATCAATTATAGAATATATTAATTGCACTTTAAAGAATATGTGTACTATTTTCTTGAGAATGTTTAAGAATATCTATTGGACATTCATAAGATATGTAAATTTGACTTCTTTTGTTCTATGGCGTGATGCATATTTAAAACAAATATATATTCACTGCATACAGAAATTATTTCCAACTTTTTGTAAGATCGTATCGATAATAATTTAATCGCGCAGATGCAGGTTGACGAGGAAAGGTCCTGAAGATTTTCATAAGCAGAAAGGTCTCCGAGACATTCTTACAATTAGACATTTTCAAGATAACGTACAAAACGAATAGAATCTATACCAAAGGCGACCAGCGACAAAGAGTTGAGCCCGTCGGTATTCGGCTTCCCGGGGCTCAGTTACGAAATGAGAATTTTCCTCTCCTCCCGTTTTCTATTCATCGACTATCCCTGATTGCACATTTTTTGCACGTATCACGCAGCCTGCGTGTGGAATTGCCTACGGAAGCTTACGACCAGCCAACCTCGGCGTACACGGTGGGCACGCGGCACGTCGCACGCGAGTGCCAGCAGCGAGTGCGACGCGTCCGCGAGCGCGTGTATGCGCGTACGCGTTTCTCAGTGGTCCACTGCGAGCTTTCCGCAAGAGCGATGGACGCACGGAAGCTCAGTTGTATGGCCAGGAGTGCCTGATAGACGTGACCACGTTCGAGGTAGGCGGGTCTTCTGTGCGTCACTTCTTCATGTCGTTCATCAGCGCGCCGTCCTTGCTCTTGTTCGAGTCGAGATTCGACTGTTGACTGCTCGTCACGCCGCTACCGTTCCCGGGATACATCTTCTCCAGATGATTCAAAGACTCGCTTAGGAACTTCTGCAAGGGAAACCGTAAAAGCTTTCAGTGGAGCCGTATTTTTAGGTGAGAATCTTTATAGAGAAGATACTTCAATTTCTTCTCATATAGATGCTTGAAATCGCAAGAAGAGAAAAAACGGTGGTATAGACAAAAAATAACTTCTCATCATCTCATTACCTGTATAGCCGTTAAAGCGGCCACGATCGCAGGACTTCCGAATCCGTGTGATATGAGAGAAAAATGAGTGAGATGTCTCTGTATACTGGGATCGAGGATATGTTGCGGCCGCGTATTGCAGAGCGGCGATCTGTCCTGGTTCAGAAGATCCATCAGCTCTTTGGTGATTTGTCTGGAAACAGCGAAGTCGCAAAAGTCAATTGCGCGGTTCTTGCCGTGACAATGCGAGGAATGTGCTTTTTGTCGAAACCGATATTATTGATATTTAATAAATATTAATACTTAAATGAATTACTAATTATTATACGACTAATTATCATATCGATACTATATAGAATAGCGTCGGATGACGTGTCGTACTTCAAATAAGAGTTTCGACACTCTGTTAGACAATTTTTTATGACCCACCATTTTAGACTAGCGAAAAAATTTTATTATTATTTATTTTACAGATTCACTTATTATAGTAATAATAATATTTAATGCTTTTGACGAGCGCAGCGTAGTTAACTTTAAAAATGACGGACGGTTCAAACTCTTACTCTTGAGGAGAGTGTCTAGTGTTTATGCTTACTTGGTGGCATGAAGAAGTTCTTTTCTCCTGTAGGAGTCTTGCGGTTCGCAATGCTGCCGACTGAGGTACTCGGCGACTTGCTTCGCGGGGAATTCGGTTTCGCAAACGTAACCGAAGTCTCTGGCAAGGTGAATGGCTTCTCCTGAAAAGAATAAAATATTCACGTGTAATATGCGCGTGATGCCATTATGTAAACTCGCTACGCACGAGTATGCATAACGGACGATGAAAACGATCGCGGAGTTTTATTTGACTTGCGAAACGCTGTCCATCGTATTTCCGAATAGTTCAACTCGAGTTTATGATGGGCGTCTTGCCAAATTCGCAAGTAGGAAGTTTCAGAGAACCTCGTCTCGCATTCGATGATAGATCCTCAGATTTACAGACTTATAATTGTCGATAATATCCATAAAATATACTTTTGATGAACAACACGCTGTTCCTTTTGCTTTATAAACTTTTATTTTAATAGAATTTCAACTTGAATTCCTACCCGCCTTGACCATGACTTTCTAATTGGTTTCCTAACATATTTAACATTGAAATTCCAAACTTGCAACATAATCCTCCATAAAATGTTGGCTATTAAAATGATCACGACGTTTTATTTGATTTGCGAAACACTGTCCATCATATTTCAATTTTATGATAGGCATCTTGCCAAATTCTCAAGCAGGCAGATTTATAGAATCCCGTCACTCAATAATAGATCTCCAGATTTACAGATTTACAATTATCGATAATCTGATGAAAGCTCTCTCTATAGTTTGATCAGATTATTTTTCGCAAAAGACGCAAGTTAAACGCTAAACATGGAGTCCATTCAAAAAAATTCATTAAGAAATTATAAACGGATTCGTTGGAATGAATCTTCGGATGTCCTCGATGCTACAGGCAAAGCGAAATTAACTAATTACAGTTAATGAAACGCGCATTATCTTCAACGTGCACGCCGCCCTCCCCTTTTTCGACCACCCCTCTGTAGCGCATTCCTCGCAACTTCTCTCTCTCTCTCTCTCAGTGTGATGGAAGGTAATTAGGTAGCTACATGCATGTATATGTGTGTATGCAAGTACAGTCTCTCATGCACAAGCTGGAAGTAGACCTGCTGGGCGCTATTATCGATAAACCAAGCTAAGCCACCCGCAGGTATACCGCCGCGTGTATCACCCACGAGATCGGAAACGCGGACTTACAAACGGACAAAGCCACCTGCAGTTAACGAATTATCCAATTTCGCAATCCTGCCCACGCCTCCTTCTTTTCCTCTTCATAACCGAAAACAGAAATACTTGTACGCGGAGATAAGCGCACACACCTCGTGCTCGTTTGGAGACCGTGAAGAACTGGCAAAATTCTGTCGCGACCTTGTTAATTTATATGAAAACTTGACATTCTAAAGTCAACTTAGAAATTATATCTTTTTTTTTTAAATAAGAACTAGAGTTGGATTCTTTTTAGTTTCAAATTTGTATTCGCGATTTGATTTCACGATGTTTAATATCAATTTACACTGAAAAAATTTAAACTGGTTCAAAATTAATGAATTGCGATGCATCTTTAGGGACGTCCCCTACAGGGACACCTGCGAACGTGCGAGATTTCAAGTTGTCGTTTAATTCAGACTTTGAAGAAGCAAAGGTTTCGCACGCGAGGATCCTTACACGCGCGAATTCTTTGTTACACGAGCGACGGCCGACACGTGAACGGTCGCAGTTAGCAATGGTCCTGCATATTTGCGGAAATTCTCACATATTAATAGCCATCTAATGGCGTTCTAAGTGCCGGCCCAATTTCGGATGCGGGAAATAATGGGATTTTAGCAAGACCGTCGTACATGATTGACAGCCTTCTAATTTCGATGTAATGGCCGCGCGCAGAATTGTTGCTCGCGCAAGGATCTTGCACGCGCCGTAGCCCTGGGCAACCACCTAGATCACCGCAGAAGTCGTATTTGGAATATTCTCTTATTTTTTTTTCGTTTTAATGCGTTACACTTAGGTTGCGCGACAACACGATTGAAAATACCATGGATCTCATAAAATTTAATCGTCGTATCGGTACATGTGAAAGTATGCGATGTTTATTGCCTTCAGTCGTACAGATTGTTACTATATCAGCCGTTCTACGGGTAGAACAAGTGGATGCTCATTTGTAACGACGTAAAATGAATTTAATTGTATCTGGGGATTTTTATGATTACGTATATATCTATTAGGACGGAACAAAGTACGATAGACAGTAATGGAACAGCGAGTTCTCGAGAGTAACGAAGTTTCAGTTCTTTGGGAGACATATATAATGCTTGCCTCGTTATAGCTTCACGATTATAGCGTAAATAAATCTGCTCTGGAATAAAAAATATATGTCCTATGATTCTTATTTTATTATCACAGGAATGAGATAAAAAATATAAATGAATTACACATGTTTAAGCCGGGATGCTCATCTTCTAACACGTACATCGCATCTTGCTATATTTATAATTATTATTTACGTTTTCGTAATGCGTTTGAACACGTCCGTTTAATACGCGAAAGAGGTGAGTGCGCCGTAATTGTTTTCAACGACAGCATATGCAGATTTCGAATGTCGGGCCGCTGCTACATATATATAATTTGGACTGCACTTTGCGTATACGTCGTTGTTCTATTTTATGTGACATAAATTACAGTTCGTGCGGTCGCAACCATCGTTATTTTAATAGACCGCGCGCCATTGATCCTACGTGTTTATGCCGGACCTGTCGTAATGCTTTGTGTAGTAAAGTTTTTACTGCGGTCGCGACGAGAGAGAGAGGGAGAGAGAGAGAGAGAGAGAGAGAAAGAAAAAAATGCGTAGCGAGCAGACGCATTAAGCGAAACGAGATACTGCTAACGCAGCTATGAAAAGCATGTAAGTAGTTTGAAATTGTCGATGTTTTGCGTTGTTTAACGTTACACAATGTTGCATATGTAACGTTGTTGTCGCTCGCACTGATTTTACGTAATCCCACATGTCTTCGCTCAATGTATTCAATAAGAACGGATGCACGTAAGGCGGAACGAGTAAAAGAAGTAACATTTTTATTTTCCATCGAAATTGCAAATCGCTCGGTTACTCGTGTCTGATGCATCTAATCACTTAACCGTGGCGTGACAGACACACTTGGCGATTGAATGTAACGAAGAGTATAGAGCTTATAATAAGGATATTTACATGTTTCGAAAACTGTTATCATAGATGACTGACATAAATTTGCGTTCCGGTTTAGTGACATGAAAAAGAAAAGAAAAAAAAGAGAGGCGTGATTGAAAACTTCTGACGCACGCATCGTTAGCTATCGGAAAGATGCATGACTTTGTTGAAACTTTATCTTCGTTTTGCATTAGACGGATTTATTTAAACTCAAAGGTGGCAAAATATCTGATTTTTTCCCCTTAATACTTACTTCGTTGCGACGCAATGCAGACTTTGTATTCGAAATAATCGAGAAAATTTTCTGTAAGAGAAGATCTCTCTTGATTCCCTGTTCTGATCTCAATCACTTTGTCGATGCAAACTCGATAGAATAAAAAAAAAAACTTCCCGACGAAGCTAGAAAGGAGACTATCTCCTAGGCAAAGAAAGGATCTTTTCAGCTAGAAACGAGTATCCCACGATGTGGGACGTCGAGCGGGTATAATATTATAGTTTCGTGCGATATTTATCGACGTGGATGCCACGTGTGTTTTCGCCGTTTTCTACGGAATTCTCGTATTAGGCGCGCAAAACCGACAGTAAGTTAACTATCGGCGATCTTATCGACATCGTCGGACGTGGTGCAAATTTCCACCCCCCCTCGCCCCTCTACCCTCTTGCGCGAGGTGCAACAGGTCGTTTCGGCTACGCTTTAGCCTGCCACGGGCAGCTCTTCCGCGCGGATTTGCATATCTCCCCCCGTGTCGTATCTCTCCTTCTTCTAATCTCTTTTAAGTAAATTAGCGTGTCTGTACCTTACCAATATGCATGCGCTGCGAAACGTTTACGATTATGATCGCAAATGCGAATGTATGTCTTGTATTTTATCACATTGTACCTTGAACTTCTTTGAGAGATTCTCTTGGCAAGCAGACAGCTGTCCAACTGCAATGTCGGCTTGGCGCGGAATGTTAATGACTTTTTAATCAATTTTCGTAAATTTTATCCCGTATTAAGTATGTCATAAATTTTATCCTGTATTAATTAATCCCTGATAGACTAAAAGAAAGCGAGTGTCAGGTATCATGAGATATAAAAAGCTAATCATTTTATATATGTCACTTGAACTAATCATATATAGTGGTACACGTGCTGCTTCAATATATGTAGAACAAACTTTACAAAAATCTATTAATTAGAAATTCATTAACATTTTGTCATTGACGTAACATAAATTACGCAATGCAAATCGTTATGTTGCCGAAGTAAAATATTACAGCGCACAGTGCTTTAACATTATCGTTAATCGCACCCGAATCGGCGGCGCGACGCGAAGGAATGTCCGGCTTATCGAGTACGAGGGAATATGACTCAATAAAACGAAGGGACTCGCAGACCGCACGCCGCAGATTGCCGCTAAGGGAGCTCGCTCAGATGGGAGATCCAGATTGGCGGTGCGCGAGTAAACGAGAACGAGAACGAGCGGGTAACGTGACTCGCGCGAATTGTGCGTGATGAACGGAACTGCCTGACGACTTCACCGTGTCGGTCGCGAATCAATAGATAGCCGATCAAAAGCTGTGCAATTGACGCGCGATGGCGCAGCAAGAAGATCGGTCGGGAAAATGCGCTTAATTACATGGCTGAATAATTACATCTTTTATTTCTTGCCAGCAGCACGTGCTGGCGTATATGATTATGCTCGAATCTGTCCGATTTTGTTGATTGATTCAGTAAAATTTTTATTGGCAACGCCAATTCATAAAGTTCTAAAAAAAGAGATGAAAGAAACTGATGCTGTCAAACGAGAGAATTTTTGTTAAACTTCTCCTCTCACACATTGAATATCTTATCCGTCCTTACTACGAATAAGAAATAACATTCTTTTAAAGCTACAAAGTGCAAGAAGTTAACGTGGATTGTAAAAACTGCTCTTGATATTTAATAATATTATAAATAAAGTTAAGAAGAAATGCACTGATC